CCCTGGATGGGATGCTAGTCCATCGCAAGGTTACCCCCAGCATTAAGTTCGCCGGTACCCATTTATACACCTGGGCGGAGAGAGGCACTGTGAGAGTGAAGTGTCTTACTTAAGATTGCCAAGAACACAACACAATGTCCCAGGGGCTCAAACCCGGACTGCTTGATCCGGAGTGCACTTACGATGAGACCACTGTGCCTCCACTGCGCATTTACATTAGGAGGCCAAAAAAGGATTTTACCGAGAATCAGCATCCTTATTAACTCTTCTTTTGTTTGAAGCAGTTTTAGATCAGGCTATCAGAAGCTAAACTATAGTGCAGAAGTCAGCTATCAAGTTAATGCTTTTGAAGAGTTACATGATAGGAGGAGGAGGTACAGTAATGCAATATCTATTACGTTTCATTCCTGGCATGGGACTTTTTCTTCACTCCTTGAAGAAGACATTTGGATGTTTTTTTGCCTTCTACCAAAAAGTGCAAATGGCTGCTAATGAATAAAAAGAACTAGGTTGTCAGGCAACTTGTCAAAAATTACAGGATTTGACCTGACTTGGGGTGCAGGTTTTTTTCTGATTTGACTGAACACCTGAAACAGGCCTGCCTTAATGCTGCCTCAGACTGGCTACACCTCTCACCAAATCAATGGGTCCCTCAACAAGTGCAGCCACTGAACCCGTAAACATACCACACAAAAAGTACTCTGGGATAGTAAGTCGTTGACCAAGATGATCTTTCCCAGCAAAAAATGCTGTAATCTATAAAGAAAAATAGTAAAACACTATATATTAAAATAGGACCTAGAAAGATTTGAGGAAGGCCCTGCTACAATGAATGGTATTATTGAGTCCATCCAAAGTCACAGTCACATGCATGTATCTGGAACAAAATCTTGACATAACAAAACCACGTATGACAAAATCCCTTATAACAAACACAATCCAGACACACAAACGTAATCACAATACATGTATATGGAATAAAATTAAACTGACCATATTCCATTGTCAAAGATTGCACTTTTTCCATCAACAGCTCAGAGCTCTATGATTACAATCTGTTTGCTATAACACATACATGTACTAGGCCCCGGTAGGGAGGGGGGGGGAGCTCCCATATAAAAAGTGTTTAACCTCAAAAGGCCCACAGCAGGAGCTTTTGTGGTACTTTTTAGGGTATTGAGGGAAAATGGCATGACAATACATATTTGAAAAATAAGAGACTTAATTTTATCTCAAAATTGGTACCTCTTAGGGGTTAAAAAAATTCCAAGCCACGCTGCACAAAACAGGATCTTGGTGCCTTTTTGCAGTTCTTATCAAAATTCCTGACGAGCGCCCACATCCCTTTTATATGGGAGTTGCCCCCTGGATATTAGGACTGAGGTACATCGCAAGTAGGTAGACAGATGGCACGACTACATAGCCACATGCCGCATAGTATGCCTTTAAACCAGCATAAAAGGTACATAATGCATATGTACAAGGGCAGTTCTCAATTGAGTTTTGTAATCACTGGCAATTACTTTTATTAATTGGTTCTGGATGTTGTTTTACTACAGTTTGAGATATGCTGAGTAGTCTGCATGCATGTAGTTGGTAAGTGATTGGCTTGGTTTTGGTTTTAAGACATCTAAATGAAAACCGCTCTAGATAGCCAATACAGCAACATAGCCCTTTAAACACTCACTTAGTGTAAAGGGATAATAAATCATGATCAATTACTAAATATTACACTGAAGCCTCTATTAAGCGGACACCCTCAGGACCTTCCCAAGTGTTCGCTTAATAGAGGGTGTCCGCTTAATAAAGGTTTACAACAATTGCACAATGTTTGTTAACAATTAACATTCAACAGTTCCTCTGTACTCTTCCAGGTTGTTAATGAAGCTATCCAGAGTTCAAGTTAATCAGCTTTCATTACCAACTTTAATTTGTTTGTAATAATGCCCTTTCAATACAGCAATGATAATATGGGGACATTTAATCGACTATTTCGAGGATGTAATTCTATGCCCAATACAATATATTTTAGTGTCCTCATCTGCTTAATAGAGGTGTCTGCTGAATAGAGGTTCACTATAAAGGGAAATATAGGATGTTAATTTTGGGACCAGGCTAAGTGTCCGTTTAAGAGAGGGTGTTTGCTTGATTGGGGGTCCGCTTAATAGGGGTTTCACTGTATTATGTTCAACTAACCTGATAATAGGAAGTGAAGAGAGTTGCTCTAAAAAACATCTGACCCACAATAGGAGACCCTGCCGTAATAAACAATAATGATAAGGAGACTAACAGCTACCTCATGCACATGTACATGTAGTTTGATAGGAACTTTACAAGAATATTTAGGGATTTTTACACATACCAGTATATATATGTATGAGGACCCTGGTAACTGGGCTGGCTTGGATTCAGAATATTATATGATTGGAGGTGGTGCTAAGCTAAATTACATGCAAAATACTAAGGGTATGAAGTATTTCATAGTTCAGTCACATTGAGTCAGAGGCTAACTCAAGAGCCTAGCTTTTCATTTACAGTAGCCTCCAGTCTCATTAAAATAAAGTGATTACAACATTTTACCTCACTTCAAGAACCAGTATATATATCATGTGTAACAGTATTTGTAAATTATGAGAAATAAAGATGCATGATGTTGTTAGCTGGTTCAGTTGGCTGGACTGGCTCTGAGTTTGCCAAGATCTTGGCATGTTGATTAAATACAACAAAAACGCCAAGATCCTGGCCAACTAGTCTGAAAATGTTCCATGTAATTACATTCACTGGGCCAGCCTGGATTACAAAACCAGCAAGAGTACAGTGAGTAACACACTGCGTATGAATGGCTGACGAAGTATCAGTCTAAAAATCATCTCAGTACTTATAACCTGTGCCAATAGCTCAAGGGTTAGCTCACTTCATGTAATAATACATGTTAGATAAAACTAACCTCGGAAAACCAAGCCTGAGCCTGTAAAACTGGGGCAGTCCATCCCAGCTCATGTACATGTAATAGGCCCCCTATTGTGAGTGTAAACATTTGGATGGTTCCTGCATGGTTTTGAATATGTTTCGTCTTTCTCGCTGCCTACCGTCCCACCCAATCCTACACTTTTTAACTTGTGAATTGTGTTCAAGCAAATTATGGATTGTAGTGGTGGACCAGATTCCACAAATGAGCTGTTGGTTGATTATCTGTTAACTTTTTGCAATTGTGCTGTTTTTCAGGCACATGCATGCATATCATTTGACATCTCTAGGACAATGTATAACGTTTAGGCATGCATCAAAACAACAGTGAAGTGGATGCTGCAAAGGAGACTAGGAAGGGGTGTCAAGTCATGAAAAAGGTTGCATTGGCTTCACAATTCTGCTGTTTTGCAGGCACAAACATGTTTGACACCTCTAGAACAATGTGTTACATTCAGATGTGAATCACAAAATGTTGAAGTACATAAAAATCTGTAAAGGAGAATAGGAAAGGGTCAACAGGCCCTTTGCAACAGTTGGTCGTGTGATGTGCTAGCTGATCAAGATCACACTGTTTCTTGCATAATTGGTAATATGTAGTGTTATCAGAAATGGAAAGGCTATCTACAAATGGGCTTACATGCACATTTTCAAGATTTATCCTTTAAGAGGGAATTTTTATGGAGGTTAAAAATTGAAGGATTTTTGTAGAAAGAAGATGCTTTGCCCTCCAGTCATGCTCCAGAGGTTTTTCAAACAAATCCATCCAGTGGTTTTTTCCATGCTTGAAAAAATATGAGTAGAACAATAACAACACTAGAAGATTTCAAGACAGCCATAAAGAAAATAAACTTTTAGTATTTTAGGATATGTATTGTCATAATTTGATTGACTTATGAATTTTTCTCTCTCAAAGATAAAATTAAAGTAGCTCAGTAGAGCTACATGTACTCAGACCATTCAAGTTGAAATAAACTGTGTACATGTATATATCAAGAATGTATCTTTCTACTTTCATCCTAATATTTCACCCCACTTTCTGTCTCCAATTGTTTTATGCCCACAGCTTCCATTTGTAGTGATTGGTAATGGAAAAGGTTCCTGGAGGGCAGAGCTTCCTCACTTCCATAAAAAACCATCTTATTTTTTGCAATATTCAAGTCATCATTAAATCTCAACCTTACATGGCATGGCACTGGTCTGAAAAATCATGTGCTGGCTATTGAAAATATAGTCTTCCAGTTCTAAAATTCATTTGGTTACAACATTAACTTTCAAAATAATTATTGGCCACATGTCTAAGGTCCATTCAAGGTCCATTCAAGATCCATTCAAGGTTCATTCAAGGTTCCATGAAAACGTTGGCTTATATCTGTCAACATTGTTGATGAACCCATTATTACCTTGAGATTTTTGAAAAATTTTGGACATTTTGGACATTTTTAGCCTGGATATGAACTAAGTTAGCTCCAATTTCTACTCCAAAATTAAGGCATTTGCGACAAGACAGAATGTCTATCTTTCCACTAGCATTGCATTTTATCGCATGTTTGCTTGGGCATGGGCAGAAATCAAAATTTTGATTTTTGTTCTGTTGTTTTTTTTTTTAATATCTTTTTTTCCACCTTTCCTTTCTGTCCTTTTCTAATTTTTTTGGCGCAGTTGTTGACCTACTACTGGGCCGGCTTTCAGTTCAAGAATTTCCATGAAAGCATCATTGAGACGGGAAGTTCTTTGCACGGAGTAGCCAAGTGTAGTACAGGTAAATTTTGCTCCGAGTTTTTCGCTCAAATTTTTAAAACAATTAATGAATATTTCACACTCAATTGACTCAGTCACTCTGATCTCGGTATTGCTGGAAAGATCCTTTGCTACTGCAGAACTTGAGGGTAAGTGACGCCAGTTTTGGTCACAGGTGATGACGTCAGAAGTGGAACAGGCCAATTTTCATCATGGGCGGTTTACAGGCGGCACAGGCATCAATGGGTTAAATTGTTGTAAACACTTTAACTTTTCATGGAAGTCCAGAGGAAAGATAATAAATTTGTGAAATTAGTTTATAGTCAGAATCATTGTTTTAAGTTAAAGACGTTTACTGTTATTTTTTCTCTTTAAAACATTAGTAGTTTTTCTTTTTATATATGAAAAGAGCAATTCCATATTTCACTAAGGTTAGCTCATTTCAATCATCATCCAAAGGCGGAATTAACGAGTTTGTTCTTAAAGCACTTTGATCCTGGGAGGGGGGGGGGTACTCCCTTACATGGGCTATAGAGGTATGTAAGGCCCAAAAGGGTATGGTTTTTCAGCCATTTTGGTCATAAATAGGGTATTGATTTTAGCTGGGTGTGGCCATTTTGGTCATAAATTGGGTATGGTTTTTGCACTCTAGCCTTGATATGGGTATATTTCTAAGAAGAAGCCACTTTTTCATCATTATCGAAAAGAAAATCGACAAAAACCTTTCACAAATTATGTTTACAGTAATTTAACATTGGTCCGAACTAGGGAATTTGTTATAACTCAGGTCTGAAACAGGGTTCTGATTCAAGGGTCAGGTCATAAATAGAGTTTCAAATTTATGGTCAGGTATTAAATAGGGTAGGGAATATCGCAGATTTTAGTCATAAATAGGGTAAGGGTTTTGGGAAGAGGGCTGCACAGCNCCCCCCCCCCGCCGGACTTTTATCCACTACCTTTGTCGTTGGATCTATTTCTGGAACAATTAACTATTCAGTATTCTTAAGCAGCCTTCACACGGCAAACTTAGTTGGCAAACTCGTGTTCCAAGGCAAACTTCAAAGAGTTGGCAAACTTCAAAGAGTTGGCAAACTCATATCTTCACACGTCAAACTCGCGCCAGATCACAAAACACGATAATTTGCAACATGACCGATTTAGTGCAGTGGCACTCACGTAGAACAGTGAAAAAGAAGAAGAGAAGAGAAGAAACAGAAAGCGGTGGAGAAATAGAAAGGTTTGGACGAAACCCAGTTTGTCCGCTCGCTCCTCCGTTTTGTTTTGTTTGTTTTTAGTACCTTTGCAGACTACAGATGAAACATCCCACACAGCCGGACAATTGTGAACCTCTTCGATAAATTCAAAAGTGGTCTCATGTTAATCTTGACTAGCGTCCGCCATTTTGTGCAGTGTCACGCAAATAAATCACGGGAATAGAGCCCGTGTTTTGATTGGTTGACAGTCAACAACACATGTTTGTCAATCGTTCACACGTCAGATACGAGTTTACCAACACGAAAAAGTTGGTGAAAAAGTTGGCGAGAATAGAGACAAGTTCTATTTGTCGCCAACAGTTTGCCAACGTGTTTGCCGACTGTGTTTGTGCCTTTCACACACACCAACTTGAGTTTGCCAACAAGAGTTTGCCGTGTGAAGGCCGCTTTAATCAGTGGTCCGCAGAACAAGGCGCATCTCGGATTTCGAGTAACGATCTTTGTACTTTTTTTGCGGGGCCGGAAGTGGCTCTGAACTATACCAATCTAGCCTGCGTAAAGCGTTCACTTGAGATTTTTTTTCGTGTATTGGGAGCGCGCGAAATCTTTTATCTCCCATTTCGTGATGTCCTGATGTCGTGATGTCCTGTGAAGCAGACAACCCGCCCCCCGGGCAATTAGCCCCAGACAACTCGCTCCCGATCTTCAGACAGCTAGTCCCCGATCTTCAGACAACTGGCCCCCAATATGAAAACACCTATGTTACNCTGGAACAATTAACTATTCAGTATTCTTAAGCAGCCTTCACACGGCAAACTTAGTTGGCAAACTCGTGTTCCAAGGCAAACTTCAAAGAGTTGGCAAACTCATATCTTCACACGTCAAACTCGCGCCAGATCACAAAACACGATAATTTGCAACATGACCGACTTAGTGCAGTGGCACTCACGTAGAACAGTGAAAAAGAAGAAGAGAAGAGAAGAAACAGAAAGCGGTGGAGAAATAGAAAGGTTTGGACGAAACCCAGTTTGTCCGCTCGCTCCTCCGTTTTGTTTTGTTTGTTTTTAGTACCTTTGCAGACTACAGATGAAACATCCCACACAGCCGGACAATTGTGAACCTCTTCGATAAATTCAAAAGTGGTCTCATGTTAATCTTGACTAGCGTCCGCCATTTTGTGCAGTGTCACGCAAATAAATCACGGGAATAGAGCCCGTGTTTTGATTGGTTGACAGTCAACAACACATGTTTGTCAATCGTTCACACGTCAGATACGAGTTTACCAACACGAAAAAGTTGGTGAAAAAGTTGGCGAGAATAGAGACAAGTTCTATTTGTCGCCAACAGTTTGCCAACGTGTTTGCCGACTGTGTTTGTGCCTTTCACACACACCAACTTGAGTTTGCCAACAAGAGTTTGCCAACTTTAGTTTGCCGTGTGAAGGCCGCTTTAATCAGTGGTCCGCAGAACAAGGCGCATCTCGGATTTCGAGTAACGATCTTTGTACTTTTTTTGCGGGGCCGGAAGTGGCTCTGAACTATACCAATCTAGCCTGCGTAAAGCGTTCACTTGAGATTTTTTTTCGTGTATTGGGAGCGCGCGAAATCTTTTATCTCCCATTTCGTGATGTCCTGATGTCGTGATGTCCTGTGAAGCAGACAACCCGCCCCCCGGGCAATTAGCCCCAGACAACTCGCTCCCGATCTTCAGACAGCTAGTCCCCGATCTTCAGACAACTGGCCCCCAATATGAAAACACCTATGTTACATTAGACAAATATATTTTTATGCTCAGAAAGTAATAATTTCTTGAAAGAAGAAGAAAGCTTGTTTTTTAATGTATGTTACGAGACCAAGACTTACGTTTGTAGCCCTTGATTGTAACGATCGCGTAAACACATGAACTCACCAACTCCTTTGTACAGTCCTCCAATCCCTTCCCATTTCATAGTTTTTACGAAGCAATCCAAAAGTCCTTTGTAAACGGGCCGATCAACAGGCTGGGTTTGAAGACGAACCTTCAGCGTGTCGAAGGGATGGCCTACCAGGCACACAGCAATGCCGCTGAATGTTCCAGACACTATATTTTTCAAAGTTCTCCTGATTAATGACTGTTCGCTGGTTGGTATCAATGCCGGCAATTCCTCGATGTTTTGGCTATCTTCTATTTTAGAGTCCGCCATGTTGGTTTGTCACGTCACGTAATCCCCGTAATCCCATTAAAAAATTTATCTTGCGGAAGTCTCTTAGCAACTAGGTGCGGGTTGCGGGTTAGTGCCCGCACGGTGGATAACATATTGCGTGGCTAACGCTCTTCATGCGAAATAAAATGTACGGAAGAATAAACTCGAATAACTGAGAACGAAAGTAGAGGACATAACATAGTTTCGCGTACTTGATCAACCAACCACGGGATTATTCTCATGAAGAAACCTAATCCCGAACTTATCCCGACCATTCCCGACCCGCTATACTGACGGGCGACATCGAAGAGCCAATGAAATTTTAGCTAATTACCAAACTAGCCAATCACAGTGCAACTCACATGGAGACGCAAAACAACGGCGGGAAAAATTGGCTTCCAAGATGGAGGACAGCACAGATCTATTGCTTTCCTCGACGATTTCGTTTGAACAACGGTTTAACTGCTTGATATGCTGGACTCCGAATCTACGAATGATATACGGTTCTTGCCAGCATCGTTTGTGCGAGAATTGCTTGTATGACAAAAATGGTAACAGGAGAACTGGGCTGGAAAGATGCCCCACTTGCCAAAGAGAAAATGCTTTTCTCGAGACACGACCAGACATACCCGAGGACAATATGGAAATTCAAGTTCACTTAGGTGTCAGGAAATGCCCTAATAGTCGCTGCAAGTTGCAAATGTGGCACTGGGAACTACCAGATCATTTGCAGTGAGTTTTTCCTTTCCTTCTATTCATGTTATAGCGTTCATTGACTAGCTAGCACAAGATAGGCAATCAACTACATGAAGTTGCTATTGTAAGCTACCACGTGTCGCAACTTAAGCTTATAAGTTAGCTTACGGGTAGACTTAGTGTTCATTTGAAGATTAACCCAGTGAATAAGTCTTACATACAAGTATTTACATAAATAACTTCCATGTGGCACGAAAGAATCCACAAATATTTGTCTGCAAAAATTGCCCAGCATGCCAATGCTAATGGTGATGAAAAAAAAAGAAAGAGAAATATTTATCATAAGCTTAAGTTTAATTTAATGAATCCAAGGTGTGAGTCATACCATTTTATATTCACTACACCTTCCACTGAAGATGCAATTTAAGAAAAAAAAAATCAAAGAACAGATGTGGTGGTCCACTCAGAAATAGACAAAAGTCAACTGTCTTTAGAATACGTAAAATATCGGATGATGACAGAGAAACTTCCTTAGAAGGGATGTCGAAATTATGAAATGGCCCTGTGGAGGAAAAAGCTAAAAAGAAAAATAGCAATTGCTTTCAGCCAAATAGACAATGCTCTCAAAAACCTTGTTTAAAATCCTCCAGTGCTAATAAAAAGATAAGCAACTATTCTAACAAACCAGTCAGAATTTGTAGGAAAACCTGAGAAACTAAACTTTTAGGCACCCTTACCTACCCAACCAAATGTACAGACAAATGTATGAAAATTTAGAAAAAAATCGACAAAGCATCTTCTAGCCAAGCTACATCCTTCAAACTTGCTGAATACAATCTTCTACCCTGTGTTTCAACACCGCGATTCACAAATTGTGTAAAATTCAATTCCCATCCAAATGCTGTAATTTCTGACTGCTTTGCCTACCTGTCAAGATGTGAAAAACTGTGATAAGGCCTATTTGTCAATAAAATAGGAAATGTGTACTATCTAACAATAAGGTTACCCAGCTCTCTGTAAACAGGGCCTGAGCTACTTCTGACACCTGTTTGCTTGTTTGTCTTTAGAAACTGTCCACGGTCCACACCAAAGAAAAGGAAAAGTTCTGGTGATCAAGTGAGTGGCACAGAAATGAAAAAGCCTATGACGCGGAGAAGTCAAACAAATAAACAAGTAGAACTTCTATCTGATAAAACAGGAAGGAGAACAGAGACAAGTAGTGGGTCCAACAGACACAATCTGCGGCCAAGAAAGGAGAAGAATAGAAGTTATACAACATAGAGGTGATCGGATGAGTTTGAACAATCACAACATATCCAAGACGTGAATATTACTGTACATCAATGTATTACACTGTAAATAATTATTTAGAATGTTATTATTTACCCTGGCTAGATATCACATGTATGCACTGTACAGCTGTATTGTGTGTACTAAAAACCCCAATTGCTTTCTGTAAAGATCATTCAAAAACTACACCCAATAATATTTTTGAGGTCAATTTGTTAGTGATTTACACATAGAGTGTGCTGATTATCATAGGAAGGAGCTCTAACATTAGTTGGGCATTAAGACAATTTATTAGCTTGATTATATCGCCAGTCATGTGCATTTCCTATCATTTCAGTAGTGAAAGAATGCAAAACATCAGTTGTAATGTTGAACCTTACTCTTATTGCCTTTATTCTTGCAAATATTTGTCGTTTACATTGACCACAATTTCTTTGCGAAAACTGATAACATCTTTCCCAGTACTACATGTAAGTAACCACCTTTTTTACAAAATCAAAGTACAGTACATATGTTTCAAAGTTTTAACTTTAATTTGAAGTAAATTCTTTGGTTGTTACAGAAATTATCAGAATTGCATACTGCAGGTATTTTTTCTACCTGTCTCTTCTTGGAAAGTTTATGTCCCCTAAATTACTATTTAATAAGTAAGTTATGTCTTTAATCATTTAAGACTGTTGCACAGTTGTAGAGCATTGATGCATGGGTGTCTTGCACTATTAATGGAGCAAGAAATGAACTTTTGTTATTGAGCATTGGAGCATTGTAATATTATTTCAGAGTATTCCACAAGTTCTTTTCCTAAAGGTCTATACATGAACTGCAGAACATTGTGCAAGCAATTCAGAGTCTGCTTATTGGTTGTAAACCAATGACTTCCACATACATGTACATTTGTATAGAACTGCTGCCTTGTTATGTATATAATAAAGTACAAAATAATATTAGATATTTTTCTGAATGCATTTGTGGCATGCCTGGAAATTTTCTCCACAAACTAAGATGGATTGACTCAATTATAGCCTGGACTTGTCCAAAGTTTTTTCTTGGCCTGAACTTATACAGGTACATTTGGTGCAGAAACTCTTGCATAGTGTGCTTAAAAGTAAAAAAAGACTTCCATTGACGAAGTGAGTAATGACTAAACATCTCCACCAAAAAATGTCATTTACAAATCAAACTTGGGTTTGCGAATTTTTTTTTTTTTCAGTCAAGCAATATTATTGACTTAGAACTAGTCTTTGAGTGGTCCCTCGTTCATCTCAGACACATGAATGTAAAGTGAAGAAAACAAGTGCGAGGCAGACTACATGTATGGAGAAATAGACTGCTTGCAGTCTTTGACATACGCTGAAGATAAGCAAGAAGTAAACTATATTATACATGTATTCCACTGTCAAATTAAATAAGAAAGCTATGTCTGGCTTAGGTTGTTGATTGGTGTTTCATACATTGTATATCCAATAAGACCACAAATATTTTCCCATTAACCCATGCATACTGTAGCAAAACTAAAAAAAAATAATAGTAATAAAAGACATTGAAATAATGAATGTGATTGTCACTTGAAAACACTGTTATTACAATTTTCCAAGCAAACTAGTTTTAATAGACTCTGGAATCAAGTCTACATAGAAACTGTGGTCCTTCAGAGACCCCAGGACACCGGTGTTATTGACATAACTGTCTGCTTGTCCATCATACTCGATGTGTTCCCCACAGATGTCTGTAAGGGTACCACCCACAGCCTCCAGAAGTGCCTCACAAGCACAGGTATCCCAACGTTTACAACCTGGACTTGCATATACGTATGCATCTGCAGTCCCTTCTAGAAGCAGCATCACTTTGTATCCTGCCCCACCAGCCTTCAATATTTTATCAGGCTTCATCGCCTCTATGGTTTTTATTACAGTGGTGTTGGAATGAGAGCGGGTTGTCGTGATAACACGTCGTCCTGCTGGTGGGGGGATGTGAGTAAAGCCAAATGTGCCAAGCCCTCTTACACCCCACATGGTTCTTCCAAGCTCACTTTCTTGGGTCTCCTTTTCATAGCCGTAAAAAGGCTGATGAATGACTCCTGCTATAGGCTTGCCATTCATTGAAATACCAATAAGTACTGTCACATGATCGTACAGACCTAGTGCAGATTACAGCAGATGAAATCACTATTAATGATAAGAATTGTATAAAGAAATTCATAAGCAGATGAGGAAGTCTACTCTGACAAAAATTTTAATGAGAGTAACTTAATAACTAAGTAAATTATGGTTTGAACCAAGATCATCAATATATGTAGTTCGTAAGGTTTGATCATCCACTCTAGGTGAGAGTAGGTCTGAAAAGAACTGTAGTTGGTGACTGATGTTTTGACAACCTGAGCGGAAGTCATCTTCAGAGTCAATTGAACAGTGTATGTTTGTCAGTTGATGGTGTTATAGTCTAGCCGTAATCGTATCGGCTGGAAGACTTTGTCAACAGTCATCGGTCAGTTATAGCTAATCTGACTGCAACAAAGAAGAATTCCACAAGACAAAGATTGTTGCACCTTCAGTAAATTCTCTTGTACCATCCAGTGGGTCCACCCAGACAGTCACCTGTAAAGTTTGAAAAAAAATTACAAATGCCACAATGTCAGCCTATATTGTCTGAAGTTACAAGAAGTTCAAAGCCATTATTTGCACATGATACCAATGGAACAGAAATGCTAATAAGAGGTGTATTTTTTTAAAATTATGTATTGTTTTTCCCTATGTTTGGCTGGACATTTCAGACAGCCTGTTAGATTTTACTAGTCTGTATTGTGTGGATGGGAGGCAACATATGCAGGGAGAAGAATATTTAAATATTGATGGGGCGCAGCCAGGATAAAACATGTATGGTAAAAATTTTAAAATGAGCTTTGACTGCCTGAACTATAACAGGCAGTCAAAAGCTTGTAATGTTTTAATAGTTTCAGCCAGAGATTGTTTTAAAATCTTTGCCAACACTATTTAAACTAGAAATTAAAGTAACTTACTTCTTCTGGTTTCACTGAAGTGAGATCTTCTGGGCAGGTCTTTGACAACACAGTAACATCTTGAGAAATTTCAATAAATTCCTCTTTTACATCATCCAAAGGAACATCCTAAAAGTAATGATATGGTTCTTCGTGTTAGATAACAAGAAATTTATTCACTCTTACTCAAAGGAAGTGGTTTTATGACTTTTATCTAATAAAAAGTAATAATTTACACAGAGCAGTTTTAGGCTTAATCAACTGTCAAATAATAACTGTTTTTTCTTTCTGCTCGTAACAAATCTGTCTTTGAGCCTAGTAGTCTAGTCAGGCCAGGATATATCTCTGATTTCCTGAAGTATGAAGTAAAGTCCTACATGTAGGAACATTTTCACTTGTCCAACATCTCTCCCCAACCCCCCTCCCCACAGCCTTGATGGGAGGCCCGTCAGTGATTCGTAGAGTTGCAGGTACCCCTAGCATTAAATTCATCAGTATAGTGACCCAGTCTAGCTGTTTAAAGTAACTTATGGAAAACAATCAATTATAAGGGTATCAACGCAGTGAAATTTCAAGAACATATGCTACAAACCTCTTCTTCGCCAATAATTCTGAGAGTTGGATACATTCTGAGAAGTGAACCAATGATACATTTCTGAGATGCCCGATCTGCTTCAGTCTGAGGGTCATATTCACCACTACCACCCTAAAAAATCAGTCAGAACTTATTAATCAAAACTAAAAACTAGTAGTAATCAGAGATTATGAGAGTGCGTTCGACACCCTCACCTTAATATATATACCTTCAATAAATGATTTCACTTAGCTGACTTTCAACCTTTGTCTATTGCTTAAATCAATATTTTTCAGTAGCAGCCAAGGTTTCACAGTGAGACATGCATAGTGTCAAAGTCCATGCTAGTGAAGAGGTTACGATTTGTTGATACGTTGCGTGGTGCCACCAGTTTCTGTAGACTCACAAGTTTCATAGAATATTTAAATTACGTACATTATTCTAAGCTGGAAGCACAAATTTAAGCTAGCATTTGCAATTGCATGCTCCTTTCGCATGTTTGTTTATGGTAAACAAACTCCATGCGACTAATTCGAGTATTTCCCCTGATGAATAAAGTAGACTTATGGATCTTGCCTTCAGAGTACTTTTCCACTGATTCCAAACAATAAAATTTGGACTGGATAAAGACTGAGCTATCTGTCGCAACTGGAACTAATCAACAAATGCAATCAAAATTTTTACAATAACTGTCTATTTTTTTGCACACTGATTGGTTCATTTTTATCATCAATAAGAGTACAGACAGATAAAATTCTAATTTATGCAAGCTTTTAAGTTCAACTTTCAGCTGTCAAAACTGTCAACTTTTTAGCCAATGAGATTTTATAGACTTTTTTAAGTAGCCATCAAAAAGCGAGAAAAGCTGTTGACAATGTTCGCGTCATTTTGAATAAAATTCACTTATCTTTGTTTACAGCAAGGTTATGGCCTCTTTTCCCCTCATTTATTCCTGGCATTTGACCATTTTGGGATCATGCTATTGTAGAAAACAAATTGATGTCAGTTTTTTATGCATCTGTCCTCTTATTGATGATAAATTGCATCATAACATTGTCAAAGTAGCTGGGGAACCAGTGGCGACAGGCAAGTGGTTCCTTAGTAAACTTTGACAATGTTATGACAAAATTTATGATCAATAAGAGGACAGACGCATAAAAAACTGACGTCAATTTGTTAAGTAGCTGTTCGCACGGTTATCATCCCAAAGCCAAGTCATGTTAATAAACACTTGGACAATTCCCTCAGATTTCGATAAATGCTACCGTCAGAGCGTTTAAATCCACCAAAATCTAACACTGAGAACACATAATAGCGAAGCGCACGCCGACTGAATGGAAAGAAGTCAAAGAAAGATCCAGCGGAAAGACATGGCCTGCTCACATACTCAAATGTTCGCCACATGTCTTATCACATGTCTTAGCATTGAGCGATACCAGTTTACTGGCCATGACATGCCCCTGCAAAAATAAAGCGGGGTGGCCAGTTTGGTGTCCTTACAGGAATGTGGATTTTTCTGCATATGACCGTGCACAGGGCACCCAACTCCAGAAAGCCACAGGTCAAAATTATGCTTGCATTCTTTGAACACAGTAAGAGAAGGCATGATAATGAACCTATGACTTTTCTGGTCATCTTGCTTTTTTCCCAATGCAACACATCATGATGATATGTTTACACTATGTTACATAATTATATAGTTAGACCAATCTAATTCGAACTCAGTTATTTTAAACTCCCTGTTATTTCAAACTCAAAACCATTTCCCTGGGATTTTCGCTTCAGTTATTTACTATCTGGAGCTAATTTAAACTCCCACTATTTCGAACAATTTTTCATTCCCGCAGTGAGTTTGAAATAGTGGGGTTCAACTGTACTCAGTATCCAACTTTTATCATGATACTTCATGGTTATAATGTAGAACTTGAATTTGATCAACTCCCAGTGCCATCATATCTGTAGCTCTGCAGTAAAGCACAAATTTGCCACTGAATCACATTCTGGAGTCTGAATTTTTTTTCCAAGCTTTCTTTTTACTGTTAACATACGAATCTGATTAGTAATTTTACCCTGGCTGACAAGAAAATGTACAGTCTGATTGTTTGCACAGGGATGGTGTAATTAGTGATAATTAGACCACAATTAGCCTAATTATTTTTGTGAAGTTTCTGCACCAGTTCCTCTCAAGATTGTTTGTCGAAAGATAGGTCAGCAAGTTACACTAAAACAATTAAATGGCTTGACCTCAGTTCCTAATAACTTTGAGGGGGGCATTGGGGTTTGTGGTATTGCGGTATAAGACAATTTTTCTTGCCGTATTTCAGTAATTTTAATCTCGAAATACGGTATCGCAGTATTCTCCGAGCCTGAGGGATGCAGTTTTTCAGCATTTTGGAAGGTATTAAAAGTTATACTCCTAGTCCTCCAATGTTTTCTGAGCCTTTCCACTTTCTGATTGGACATTCCCAATGAAACTTAGATCTCATGCCAACACCCCAACGAATGTTACTTATTTTGCCTAAATCGAAAATTACCTGACGTAACGTTCATCAACAAATTCTTAATTGTTCTTTCCATTTTATTTGCTCTAAACTTTAACATAGAGAGTATTGGTTTCGAAATGACAACGCATTTCCACTTGGTATTCAAGTACTGCGGTATTCAGCAATCTTTTGTCACGGTTTTGCAGTATTTGTCGAGTTTTTTGTGGTATTGCGGTGTTCAGAACCCACCAAAGTCCCCCTCCTACATGATGACCTGTAAGCCTCGAGCTTATTGTCCAGTTGTTAAATACCAACAGTTAAAGAATGGTAAACTACATGTACGTGTGAGTCTTGTACATGTCAAATAGATGAACAATTCAGTTGCATGTGAGAATAAATATATGAAACGATTAAAACTTCTCACATTCAGATTTGATTTTGCTTTTTGTTGAAAAAATGGAGGGCAGTAGTAAGCTGGGATCACTGACCATTAATAGACGAAACTGGAACCAGCCCTCTGTTAATTGACGGATATAGTCAATGAATGTGAGCTTAAATATGGGGCGACAGGGGGTGGGCGCCAGGGAAAACAGGGGGTGGGAGGCGGGAGAGAAAAGGGCGGGAAAGGGTGGGAAAGGGCAAGAAGTGGGAGAGGAAAGGGCAGGAAGCAGGAATTCTAAGAAGGTGGGAATCATTTATTAAGCATTAAAATAGATTTCTGGACTGACGGAAAAATGAAAATGTGCCCTTGAGCTGACAAACTGAGGCCATGAAATAACCCTTTTATGGTGGTTATGTCATAGGTCAAGAATTTTTGTCACTTAAGCTGTCAAAAGACGTAAGTAAGAGGAGTAAGGCTGAAAAAAAGAAAAAGAAACACCTCGGAATTGTGCAGCTAAATGACAAAGAAGTGTTTTGAGTCTTATTATTTACAGGGGAGGGAGCAAGACGGATGAGGGCGGGAGTCAGGAGATAAAGGCACAGCAAACAGGGAGCAGGGTATGGGAAGCGGGAGGTTCTGACCCCACTCTCCCCCTCCCCCTCCCCCTCCCCCCCCCCCACTTAAATGGACAACTTACAGCAGACTGAAATTAACAAATCGAATGTGGTTTAGCATTGTCTGTACTCTTATCAACAACGAGTATGTGTCATCACAGTGGTCAAAATGTTGTCAACTCACGAGGCACAACCGAGTGAGTCCACAACAGATTTTGACTACTGTGATGATGCGTATTGTTGTCAATAAGAAGGCAGACAACACTAAACCACATTCGAATTGTTTTTTACCACAATACCAAAGTCAAAGAAAATGTTTTTTTCAGAGTGCGAGCTGAAAAAGGCATTGCATGACACATCGACGCGGGCAGCGTTGTCTGGACTCTTATCAAAAACGACAAATCAGACAATCAGATTGCAAAATTAGCAGCAATTGTGGTAAAAAACAAACTTTTAAATTTCCTTTCTTACATGTACTCACATGTAACTCCCTAAGACTGGATCAGTGCCCTGCTTAAGCACATCTAAGTTGCTCTTACCACCAGAGTTTTTTTTTGTTTTTTTTTATCACTGATACTTTGTTAACTTAAAGCTTATATTTATATTCGCTCTTCATCAACATTCACGCTATTTTATTCACGTGCATAATTAAGCTCTCATTGATAAACTTCAATAATAATTTATGACTCGCTATAAGCTCAAGAAACAGAGACATTTTCCTATAAAGAAATCCAATTTTTCTTTCTCTAAGAATTGTAAACGATAAAAAGAAAATAATCTAGCGTTGTGATCAAAATTCCAGAAGTCAATGAAGGGCAATCAAGCTGCGTTTCATTACAGTTTCGTACCAGCTGGTTACCAGAGACCTGCTGTTCTAAACTGTACTGTCAATTCCCAAACCTCGACAATATCGAGAATGAAGATGTACAAACCTTATCCACTACATCAAGGCTGCCTGTTTTCAGAATGCTGCGGATAATTCCACCAGCTCGATTAGCCACAGCCACTGATGAAGACACAAGACGCATCAAAAACAACGGAGCCCCGGCAGCCATGATTGCCGGTTGAGTCGAGTGGAGTCACGTGAGAAGTAGTCACGACAAGCGTTGTGTGACGAGCCGCGGAGCGGTCGAGGGAGGGAACGAAAACAAATGAATAAGTTGCCAGTAATCGGATACCCGTGTTTGCGCGAAGAACTCTGGGATCGTCAGGGGGCAAACATTGCTAGTCGCTAAAAGGAAATGTAT